AAGCTCGGTAGTATTTCGGTAGTAATCTAGATGATCCCTGTCAGCAAGGACTTTTGGGAGGCACCTCTGTACTTGAAAACTAAGGATGTGGCGCTTGCTAGTCAAACGCAAGCTTCTGCATTGTGGCGTAATACTAGTCATGGAATTTGCGAGGCCTCCGCATGTTCTGATCATGGCTCAAGCAGGGATATCTTGCGAATTCGGCTGTGAACTCTGCTAAATGGCATGTTAAGGAATACGCTGCGTGTCATCGTGGTAACAGCTTTCGCGAATTTGCGATGCTGCGTGCCGAAGTCGCGATTGAATTGTTTGCTTCAGGCTTTGAATAGGCCCCCCTCTAACCTAAGGAAAGCTTAGGGCAAACTTAATGTCCTGGTATACTACATGGGTGTATTTCGTTAGTTCGATTCTTGTCGGTAGAGTATTCTGATGAATTCTTATCCGCTGATTATAAGTTCTCCCTAAGCAATGCTCGTATTTAACTGTTTTGATTAAAGGGATATTAAGATCTAAAAGTACGCTAGTAGGAATCTATGCTTTTATCCTTGTTCTTATCTTTGCTCCCGCTGCACGGCTCTTACTCTGCTCTTAATAATCCTTGTAGTATCATAGTGCGGATGGTCTGATTCTAGATCCGATTGGCTGATAGATTGAGCTAACGAAACTTACCCATGTATACCACCAGTACAAACCAAGCAGTCCAATAGACAGCACACGAGTCTCGGGCACACCCGACCCCCGAGCACACCCGACCCCTTAAAATGTTGGCATTGCCTTTTGTAACCAAGGCCACAAAATGAAGCAACTCTATGTACTGTTTTTGCTTCTAACCTATGCATCATGGACGGCCGCACAAGATCCCGCTCTTGTTGCGTCAATCCCCGAATGCGCAGTACGTATGGCCGAAACGCGAACATCAAACCACAGTGACTTACGGCCATAGAAAATATGCACAGGAAAATTAATACCGGCGTCTTTGTGCGCAGGGTTGGATAAAAGTTGCATATGCACAAATACGCAGCTTCAAGGCATGATCGAGGGTTGTGTCCGCCAGACGTGCACTGTAAAGCAAGGCCTAAGTGAGTGGGATCTCTCATGCACACCATTAAGAAGTAAAGCTGAAATCCCATCTTCCAGCGGCTAAGAACATATCTTCAACCCTGTGCGGCGCGCCTGCCAGTAACATCGGCTCCCAAGTAAAGGTCCTCAACATCACACTGTTCAGCGTCACGGCGGCGGTCGCGCTCGGTCGCCTTGTATTCAAATCGTTCTCGGGTACCAACTCTGGCTGGGACGACTATGCCATTGTAGCTGCATTGCTTACTGGAATACCATCTGTTGTTCTTGTGGACATCATCCTCATTCCCAATGGGCTCGGCAGAGACATCTGGACATTACCATTCAACAGCATAACTACCTTTCGGCGCACTGCCTACTTTCTCCCAATCCTGTACTTTCTTCAGGTTGGCCTCATCAAGGTTTCTATTCTTTTCTTTCTCCTGCGAATCTTTCCAAGGCCTACTACTCGTAGGCTGTTGTACGGCACTCTTATCTTTACTGCTCTTTGGACACTTGCGTTTATCCTCGTTGGAGCCCTCCAATGCCAACCGCCTAGTTTCTATTGGTTATCCTGGGATGTGAAAAATCAAAAGAGTTGCCTCAATTTCAGCGCACTCAATTGGGCGAACTCGCTTCTCAGCATCGCTCTAGATACTTGGATGCTGGCTATACCACTATACGAAGTTATCCATCTCCAGCTATCGTGGCGTCGAAAAATCAGCATATCTTTGATGTTCTTTGTCGGAACCTTGTGAGTAAATGTAACCCACATTGTTGTAATGCGTGCTGTTCATCACATGTCACAGTGTTACGGTTGTCTCCGGTCTTCGATTACAATCCATCGTACACCTGGACCGTGCCAATAATCCCACACGGGACTTCACTGCCATCATCTACTGGTCTAGCATAGAACAGGACGTAGGAATTCTTTGCTCGTGTATGCCCGCACTTCGGAAAATGCTTATACGCGCATACCCCTTGGCTTTTGCGTCAAAGAACAGAAGCTCAAGGAGACACTATGACTATGGCAGTTATAGTCATGACCACACTGGTAATGGAGGAGGTAAAAAAACGAATCAAGGCGATACAGACCGCTCACAAAAGTCGAACACTGCACCGAACATCTTCCACACGCAGACGTTTAACGGGCAATTCGAGCGGCACTTGGATAGCGACGAGAGTGCATTAGTGGAGATGGGGGATTTTTCCAGAACACCCTCAGGGGCGCACAGCAGCAACATAAGCGAAGCAAGCTTATAGTATATTATAGAGAAATGGAAAGTTGGGTACCAGTGCATCTGGTCTTTCTAGATTGTCGGGCAAACGCTAGGATTCTTTAAGCCGCCTACAAGCATACTCCTTCCTATACCCTTTCTGACCGCGCAGCGTCGCCAAACACACCACTATATATCACCCTCTCTCTCTGCCTCCACCTTATCCTTCCAAACAGCAAGATCATCGATACCAGGTTCATAGTGTGGCACAGAGTCGAACTCGTGGTATGAGGTATCGACGATTCGGGGACGGCCAGGGAGGCTAAAGAAATATTGGACATCTCGTTTGAAATTGGGGTCAATGAACATGACAATGCCGTGACTGGGAGTTGACTGTGAAGCTTGCTGGCTATGTGGCTGATTTCGAATGGCGGTCGCGACGTTGGACCTAGCTCGGTTGCGAGCAGTAGCGGGAGCTGGACGTGCCTGGGCCACTGAAGCATTTTGGCTGGAACGACTGCGTACAACTCTGCTCACGGAAGTTCTTGATGGCGGATATGCATGTAGCAGCATGTTTGCGGCTGGAGGTGGCATATATGGCCGGTTTGCGTCAAGTGGAGGTGGATGGAAGACTGCAGTCGTCTTACGTTTGGCGCGACATTTCATCTCCAACTCTCTCAGTAGGAATAGCACACCCTGGTGAGCAACTTGACAAGCTCGATTCTGTACCAAAGGCTCCATCTGATGGATCAGTGGGGCGGCATTGTCGCCGACTAGGATGGCGGCTTTGATACTGGTCAGGAACTCTTTGTATAGCCCCCAGTTGAGACCAAGCTCTTGTCGGAGCACCATCAAGAGTGGACTAACGTTCCTGGAGTCTGTTGCTGGTGGAGGATCTTGTTGGTTGGATAAATCAGACATAGGTGCTAAAGACGGGAATTTTGTTGAGTTGAGAAGAAGAACAAGCACAAGTAGTAGAATGGCGGTCAGTAGGTGAGTGATAATTGAGCGACACATGGGGCGACAAGCTACGAAGTGAAGGTGAAGATGAGTATTGTTTGTTGCTATAATACAAGTGAAAGAGCGGGTGACCGTAGTACGTAACAACATAGCAAAAGATAGAATGCAGCTGGATGAACTGTGAACACTCACCAGACTAGACGCTTGAGGTTGTCGAATACATGCCAGCTCCTCTATACCCAACCCGCAAGATCGTTTGGGTGCTGCAGAAATCCTCAAGAAGCACCAGCTTTCCACCTCTTCGCAAAAGGATCATGATCCTGATCCATCCAGCGCACATATTCCGCGCAATCAGCCAATTCCTGTGCAATCGTCTCGCCATAGTTCAACGCCACGAAAGCATACGTAGCATCGATACCGGCACTGATCCCAGACCCAGTCACAATGTTGCCATCTACAACCCATCGCGCTTCCGGAACCCATTTCACGTCCGGTCCCGTGCTCGTTGCCCACGCAAACGCGCGTTTGTTAGTAGTAGCTCTGCGTCCATCCAGGATACCCGCGCGCGCCAAGATAGTCGCCCCAGTACACACGCACAAGACAGCCTTCAAATTAGGGTAAATACGCTTTACGAAATCAATCTCGGTGCTCATATCGCCACGGGTCCCCACTCCCCCAGGTACAATCAGAACGTCAATGGCCTCGGCTTCAGTCCCGTCTTGCAGCTCGAGCTGCTGCGCAAACGTACGGTTCACAATCATGCTTTGCGAGACGTCCGTTTCCGGGTGCGAAAACATGGTGTTGCCGGCTCTTTGATGCGAGGTTTCGACCGGATCGGACGTTTTGGCAAGCATTGTTAGTTTCGTGGGGAAACTGTAGAGCATGGCGAGTGAGTTGAAGACGTCGAGTGGGCCGAAGACGTCGAGTGCCTGGAAGCCTGGGAAGAGTAGTACGCCATAGCGAACTGGTTTGGGGTCGTTGACATCGAAGAATGGTGGTTTGACGGCGGATGCTGTTGCGCCGTTGGTTGGGGGGTTGTGCAACGTGGTCATGGCTTGGTAAGTACGTAGCAATGTTGTGGTGGAGGTGCGTACATCTTTGGTTTCACGACAGCCTTCAGCCGCAGGTACTCAGCCCCACTACGATCTTGTGGGGCGATTTCTAATATAAACGTCAACTTTGCCGAGGCCGTTTTGTCATTTCTCACAACGATACAGATTGTGGCTGAGAAGATGACATGATGAGCTAGCGGTGCTGATCGCTTAGTGTAGTAGTTAGGGCCGCTGCGGACAACGTTTAGAACGAGGCTGAGAAAGAGCGCATGTCATTGTTCCCCTTGACTCTGAACTCACACTGCGCACAAATAAGTGAAAGAAATGGAGAACATCCAGATAACGAATCAAACGGAATTTGCCTTCTGCAAAAATGGGCAATCGCATTGTTACCACTACATTCTCTTGTTTGCACCTGCTGTCCCAACACTGAACCTGACCCTCTAATATCACGCATTCGATTGGAACATCACACTCAGGGTTCTTGGGCTCCAGGGTCTCAGCAGCGAAACCAATTATACGTTTCTCAATCTATATGTGGACAGCAGAATTCTATTTAGAAGAGCAACAGGAGCGGCATCCTCATACGCCTTTTCTTCCTACCTCGATTTGAACATGTCCAAATCCAAATACAAAGAGAATTTCGCAAATATGCCCTCCCCTAGCCACACTCACAACCCCGTATCCCACACCCTTACGCGATCGAACATTCAATCCTGGAAGTACGTCACGCTACATTCCCCCTCTTGTCACCAAATCCCAACCTCCCCCCCCACAAACTGCACTTCTTCACATATGTACACTTGCTCCCCCTGAATGTCACACCCCAAAAAAAACTGCTCTCCAATTCTAACACCCCGAGGCTAGAGACAGTATCAAGCAAGCACGCCAAAACTGCGCGTTTGTAGAAACATGGCCGTGCATGTATTGCCAGGGCTGTATCGATCTAAATAGTTTGCGGGATCATACGCGGTTTCGGTGCCGGAATACCAAATGTATTGGTGTGGGCAAGTTGCAGGTGACGTGTTTTTGGGACATCAAGGGCTCATGAATACTTTGTTGTTTGGAGGAAGGAGTCAAGAAGGAAGGGTAGGGGGCCAAGATGAGAAGAGAAGCGCCATCATGTATGGAAAAAGATATATATGGAATCGTTAGATCCCCAGACTTTAGCTTCCAAGAGTGTATAACTTTCAAGTCTCAACAACAGTGAAGAAAAATAACTCGTCAAATCATCTTCATCTAAAAGACAAAAGTCAAATGGATAAAAAGATAAAAAAACCCTCAAGAACACACACACACACACACTTGTTCCATCAAAACTCCCCCCTTAAAGCACTTCAACGCTCTCAACCCCCCTCCCCTCATCCAAAACAACCCTCACCATCCTCCCTTTCTCAGCAAAAAGGCCCTTGCGCAACTGGTCGAGATAAATCTCATAACTAGGCATATACCCATCTATAAACGTCTTGACCATATCATCCGACATGCCCTCACCCTTTCGGGCAATCATCTTATGCTCCTGCTCCAAGCGCCAGGTATAGACATTGGGCAGATGCTCAGTATCGATATGGATGAAAAAGTCAAAATGGTGGGGGCCCATAAAGGCGTCGCAGTAGCGCTTTAGAGCGTCGTTTACTTGGAGCAAGTGGGCGACTTGGTGCTGTGCGGGCGTGTTGACGGCGAGTTTACCTTGGAGCGCGAGGGCGTGCTTGTGCTCGATTACAGAGGGGGCCACGGGCGTGAAGCCCAGGCACCAGCCTTCGAAGATGACGACGGCGGGCTTGCGCGTGATGCGTGGCCAGGAGGATTCGGGGGCGCGGTCGCCTTCGCCGTTGAAGCGGCTTTTGTCGAAGGAGGGGATGGCGAGGGCGGCCTTGGTGCTGGGACTGTCGTCTATTGTTGTTGTTGTTGTTGTGGTAGTGGTGCTCCAGGCTTTTAGTTGCTGGAAAAAGGATTGGGCGAGTTGCTCATCATGGGTCCCTGGTTGGCCGCGCGTAAGGTATAGTTTGTTGGCTGGATCTTGGTTGCGGCGCGAGACGAGGTCGGTGTGGGTCTTGTAGAAGTCGTCGAGGGAGACGGTGATGCTGTAGAGCCCGTGTTCTTCGGATAAAAGTTTTACGAGCGTAGAGGCCCATGTTGATTTTCCTGAGCCCTGGAGACCGGTTATACCGAGGATGATGGGCGTGTCTGGGGATTCTGCATGTTGCTTTTGGATCCGGGGTAGGAGGATTTCTAGCGCCTGGCGGATGTTTTGCTCAAGGGTGGACATGGTTGAGCTCGTGACTTTGAGTTTGATCCAACTATGCCGTTTTTTGGTTCATAAAAGTGTCGTCTAACGCTTGCACATTCAGATTTGCCATTGGATAGTCCATAGATGAAGTTATTGGATGGGCCTAGCATAGGTGCAGCGAAGTCGGCCCGAGCAAACCCCGCACGTACGTAGGTATTCACCAACCTATGTTACATATTACATAGTACTACTTCTACGTACATCATCACATTGCAAAACACCACACCCAAGTCCGTAGAAAGCCAATAATTCAAGAACCGCAGAATCAGTCCCCCCCCCTTCTTCTTCTTCTTCCTCCTCCTCCTTTGTAATTCTCTGAACCTCGCCAACTCACCACCCTTTAATCTCCACCGTCCCAAAATCAATAGTCTCCCCCCTTCGCAAAAACTAACCCTCTAGAAAAAAAAAGGGACCCAACCGATCGCGCCTTCGCTACCACACAAAGACGCTTCCTTTCCACCTCGTCACCCCCCTGGTCCTGTAGGCGCGCAAATACACACAAACATCAAACAATCCGAGACACTTCCCCACCGCAACCTGCTGTTTCCGGCAAATATGCGTAAAAAGCGTGGATTGCAGTCGTGATTCCACGGTTCAGAGGGGTGGTCGTTTGATGAGCTGCGGGTGCACGCGCCCACCCCCCGGCTCCCAAGGCAGGAAGAGATCACACGGGTGCCAGGCGTGTGTGCTGTTGCGCAAGCGTCCCGGACATTTTTTTTCTTTCTCTTGGTAGGGGATTTTCCCCCCCCTTTTTCGAAAGAAAAAGGGAGAAGGGGAGGTTAGGCGTGACAAGTCTTCGTTTCTTTCTTCATGTTCTTCGATGTTGCGTATCGGAGTTCTATTTTTGGCACAAATGTTCCTGTCAGACGGAAACCCCCCTTCCCTTCTGAACACCAAAAACTCGCAATCGCACAATACAGACGCCGTTTTTTTTTTTTTTGCATTTCAATCATTCCTTTGAACCAGCATCCCCCGTCCTTTTTTTCTTTGAAAAAAATTGTCATCTGGTACAATTCCCAATCTCATTCCAGTTTCGCGCAACGTGCTAGTTCCAATAGACTGAGCATGGCGTGCTGCAGCAAGACGGTGGGCTGTCTAATACATGTAGTCTCCCAACCCTTTTCTTGTTGCTAGTGTCTTGGTAGCTTTTCTAGCATCTCTAGTTTTCCATCTTGATAGGGAGAAGCTCTTTTCTTCGCATCCTTGATTCGAAACTCGTGCGTGGTAGTAGTGCGTCCCTGCCTCACGTGCAATGTGCATATGTACCGTAAAGCATTGCATGTTGAGCGCATCCCGCGGAGTAGAAGCTTCAAGCATGTAGAACACGTGGGGGACAGGACAGGACCCCCCACTAAGCGTCATGCACATAGTGAGATGCCATGATTGTTTAGGTAAGCTTAGTACGATGGTAGTAGTGATGATGTTGAGATTACTATACAAAATAATCTATCGAACATGTCGTGCGCATTTGTGTATCGAGTGTGGGGTAAGATTTTCCAGATGGGATTGCAGGGATGAGTCAGGGATGAGGCGAAAAACATGGAGAGAGTGTCGGGATGGCGGGGGCATGACGCTCGGCACACCCACCTCATTCTTCATTCTTGATTCTTCTTATGTGCAAACAATGAAGAACTAACTGTTTGCAGCTTCACGATATTATGCGGAGAAAGGAAATTCACGATTCAATCCAGATAAAGACAACTTCTCTGATACTATTGTATATTCGAACCGTATCTATCGTTTATAAAACTGCTCAAGGTGTCTAATGCTCTCTTCAAAAGCATGACGGAAAGGGTATCTTCGCCTCTCTTCCTAATGCTTTTGGTGTCAAAACGCCGTTTTAGTCTAAATCGACCTTTTAAAAAATAATTCAACCCCCCCTTGCGTCTAGATAACATGAACGCTGAAATACAGTAGATAAAGGAAAGACGTGAAGTGAGTTGAGAGTGGCAAATCTACAACTAGACAGATGCAGTTGGATGCTGGTGGTAGGGGGTGACTAGAGAGTCGAGAGGTGAGTCAACAGTGGCGCATCGATTCGCAGCACTTGCGAGTCGGCGCATTGACCAAGGGAGTCTATTGTTTGACGCGCATTCAAATCTTTGCGTGTCTCAAAATCTGGCTGTCCTGCTGCGCTTGCTGGAGCTTGAGAATCTCCCTCTGCTCTTGGAAGACCTGGCGCGCCCTCTCGAGGACCATTTCGAAACCCTCTTTGCCCTTTGCGGCGTTTTGCTGGAAGCGCTCGACGGTAAACTGCTCGATGCTGTTCTTGATCTTCTGCCAGCCACCGCAGAGCGCCGTAATCTCAGCTCTTTGGGTAAAGGAGGTTTTGGCGTCGGGCGATGAAGCGGCGGGCCGGTAGATGCAGGTTTCGCGTACATTGAGGAGGTCGGACCAGGTCATGTTCATGGAGCAGAGGGTGAGCTTCTTCGCGACAGGGTCGACATATGAGGTTTCATAAACCATGGACGTGTCTTGGCCACCGAGGAGGGACTGTATCCATTTTGGCGTCGACTGTTGGCAAGTGATAAGGCGTTCAGTTCGCAGCTATCGCATGTTAGCCGAATGTTCTCATTGACGCTTCCGCACATGCCCCGCCTCGCGATGGAGAGCTGCTACGCTTCTGGCACATGAAAGGAGTCACTTACAATTCCTGTAGCTGGGTCTACTGAGCGACTGATGGTGTCGACAGCGATGACATGCGGCGTCTTCTCGTTCCAAGGTCCATATTTCCGCCAGTTGCTCGTCGAGACCTCCTCCCACGAGTAGTCAAAGTCAATCGTCTGCTGAAAGTACTTCATCGTGTGGTCGTGTGCCGATGGTGAGCTCGGTAGCTGTGTGTATATACGCGCTGCTGTACAGCGCAAATTCTTGAAATGCGCGAGGTCTGGTGATGTAAAATTGATAAGCCGCGATGGGATTGGTGTGGGCTTCAAGTGGGTTTATGGTGGGCTGGAGGACGTGAAGGGGTGGAAAAGGTCTAGGAAGCCCGGTAAAGCCAACCAGCAAGCCGTGCGCGATAAACGATCGACGGGGGGGCGGACGGGATGTGTGCTCAACGTTTTTCACCGCTCGAGCGCTCGACTGGATTGCAGATTGCACTGGTGCGGGGGTTTGGTGAGATGCGGTGTGAACAGATGGAGAAATGGTGCGCTGGCAAGCCAAACAAAGACAATATAATAGAATGATTTGTCCAGAGTTAAAAAAGATGCGACTGGGGTTACCGAGACCCTTCTATCCGCGCAAGCCTCCGGCAGATGGGCAGAATCTTCGCCACCATGCCCATTTGGGCCTATCACATGAAAGCCGCTAGCAATGGGCCGGCTGAGTCGTGTGCCTCTGTGGCCAATCCAGCCCGACTCTCTCCGGATGACGTCCTCCAGCCAATCACACGCCTGTCGTTGGTCGAAGCCGTCGGGAGAGTGCGACGCAGGGCGTGGGGTTCCTGGCGCTTGGAAGGATTAGAAGCAGACATACAGCCTCGCAATTCCCAGTCCGAGTCATCACGCGACAAGCCGTGTGCAGCAGGTACAAGGGCATATACTCACCATCGACGATGGTGCAATCACGACATTTTCGTAATCCTATCTACCATGCTGTTCTATCTACATGGTTGGTATCATAACTTTTGATATGTAGCCCAAAACGCCAGACGATGCTATGCAAAGTAGAAGCAACTATCGCTGCTTATCCAAACCCCTCAATCCAGCCCCTCAATCCAGCCCCGCATGCCGCCACCTCTTACAGCTCCAGCGCCTTCTGTGCCATTGCCAAGGCACCGTCAAACGTCTTGTTGCCTCCGATGAAGCCGGCGGCGTGGACGAAGACGCAGCCAGGGATACCTGATACCTGGTCCAATTGCTCGTCCCGGACGCCCTTCCATGCGTCTGGAAGGTCCTTGCGGTTCTCGAAGCCGCCGTTCTCCTTGCTCACCGCACGAATGCGCCACTTGCCCTCTGGCTTGTCTTCAGGGAAGAGCACATAGAGAACCTGAGGAGCAACACCCTCGGGCTGTGGCGTCTCCTTCTCCAGCATGTACAGGTGATCGGCCCAGGGCATGCCTTCAGGAAGCACCAAGATGCGTCCCTGCGCATCGTACTTGAGGCGGCTGTCATAGGCTTGCTTGACCTGGTGGCGGGCAGGGAGCCACGACTCGGCGCGGTCAACGAGCTCGTAGCGGAACTGCTCGCCGACAAAGCGAGAGGCCGTCATGAAGCGGCTGTCCTCCTCGGCCTGCTTGGCCTCGGGCGTCTTGGCCTCGTCCGAGAGGGGCGACTTGGGGCCATAGTTGTAGCGGTTCACCACACTGGCAATGCTGAACCCGCGGTCCTCAAACTTCTTCGCGAGCCCCGCCTTCTCAAGGTCCGTGGGGGCAATGACGTTGATGCCATTGTCATTGGCGTCAAAGGCCTCGATGAAGTCGGTGTAGATTTTCTCGTAAAGCAGGTCGCGGTCAGGGCCCTGCAGTCCGGTGACGGCAGTGATGATGTCCTTGCCAAAGTGCATGTACACGAGCCCCGCAGAGGACAGCTTGGTCTTGTGGCCGGGGAAGACGACGTCAAAGCCACGCTGGTGGTGGTCGTAGCGCCTGCTGTTGTCGTCGTACTCGCCGCCCACGTCTACCACCGTGTGGCACTCGGCCAGAACGGCAGGGTCGCGGGTGCGGACAAGCTGCGAGTCGCGGTAGGCAGGGAGCAGCTGCAGCATGGACACGGCGAGGGCTTCGTCGGCGTGGAAGTGGCCATTGTGCGTTCCGATCAAGGGCGCATCGGTCTTGAGTCTCTTGGTGGGGTTTTCGGAAGCCATTGTTCGGGTGTATAGAGCGTGTTGGGGTTGTTTTGGTGGGCGATATATAATGCGAGCTCTTGTAGCAGTTGTATTGGATTTACAATAGAATCGGTTCAAGCAATTGATGAGCTGTGGTGGTCGCGGGTAGAGACTTTTGGTGACAGGCATAGGGTGAGATGGGTGGTCCCGCAGCGGGCACAGGCTTGGCACTTTTCTTCTCTCCGGGCACTAGTGGGGTGCCAGGCTGGACCCAGCAAACCCATGTCGGCATCAAAAAAAGCTGTGCGCAACAACAACCACAACAGACACAAGACAGACGTCGGCAGCGAGACTGACCGCCGGCAGCGAGAGAAGGGGCTAGAAACAAAAACACACACGGCACCGCCTAAACTCGTGCCGTGCCTTGGTCACCCTGGCGTGATTCCAAGATTGCGCACGCGAGCACGCAACAATCCCATCACTACATACACACATACCCGTACATACTACAACGCCCAGCGCCTCGCCTGTTCGCTCGCTCGCTCGCACAGATCCACATCCAAGTGCCTCCGTCGGCTCCCCTGGTTCTCTGGCGAGGGTTGCCTTCTCTTGTCTGTGTGACGGCCAGTCAGCATCAGCCGCCCGCAAAGCTCGAGCACTTAGCGAAATTGACACGTGAAGATAGTCGATAGTCACCATCAGGCCAACCCGCCGCCCGCCCAACCTCGACCACGCCTGATCCCTTGAGCTTCTCCCCGTGGCCCTGCGCGACTGCTGCGCCGCCAGGCTTGATCCCCTTGACCGCCGTCGCCCACGCCACCCGCCGGGCTCGTCGCTGCACGAGCTTGGCGACGACGGCATCCGCACATGTGGTCTACAGCAACGAGAGTAGTCTCGTCCACTACCTTTCTCGGCGCCATCATATTCACCATCCCCCTCGCCTTTGACATTGGCGGCCGGACATGCGGTCTGGCCTTTTCCCTGTCTCTCAGCGCCTACTACTTCCTCTACTCGATCCTCCGCTTGGCCACGCCAAACACCTCTCGCTTCCGCTGGTTCCTGTGCAACGTCGTCGCTTGGGCGCAATGGCTGGCCATACCCACGCTGTTGATCTGGAGCCTCAACAAGTTTTCCATCGATGCCAATAACTCGGGCTGGGTCGAGCGTACCTTGGGCGGCAAGCGTGCCGACTTTGAGAGTGTGCACGAATGGATATTTGGCGCTGAAGGTCTGCTGGAGAGTTTCTCGATTGGTGCCTGGGACAAGACGCTGAGGTACAGCACGCCTGTGTTCCAGGTAGCCGAGGGCTTCTGCAGTCTGTTGGTTATTCAGGCCGCAGGGCAGATTACACGATGGGTGGTGAACCGGGAGCGCGGCGACAGCTGGATGGTAAGAATTTTTTTTCACAGCATTGTACTGGGCCTTGCTAACATGAATGCCTGCAGATTGGCCTTCTCATCACCTCGGCCTCCATCATCTCGACCTCTGTCTACTTTTTGTGGCGCATCACCACCTTTCCCGAGATTAGCAATGTGGACGCTATTTTGATTGGCGTTGCTATTACGACTGCCAGCTACCTCGGTGGCTGGGGTATTGTCAGCGCACGAGGAAACCCGGTTGAATCCTCGCTTTTGGTGAGTGCTGGCCTCTTTGAAAATCTCGTTTCATGCTAATCTCCCCCCCAAGTTTGCCTATGTCACTCTCTGCATCTACCAAATCTTTACCGACTACCAGCCATCTCCGGGCTCCGTGAGTGAATCCAACCTCACATCCGAGCCCGCTCTGCCTCCACTCCCACCGATTATCATGGCTTCGTATACGACGCTTCTCCATGCCCTTGGTTCCCTCCCCACCATTGCCCATACCGGCTTCAACCTCATGGTCGGTGCCATCATGACCATTACACCCTCAGTCATCATCTCCCTGGCCTATCGCGTGTTTGTCATGTATGCCGCAGCTCGCATCATACCTGCGATCCGAGAAAGCGGGGCACGAGCACTATCGCAAGAGCCCAGCCTGGATGACGACGACGAAACGTCCAAGATTCTTGGTTTCCTGACGTGGTTCAGCCCCAGCATCATCATTGCCGTGTACACGAGTCTGCTCATGCAGCACTTTGCTAGTGGAAACGGCGGTGACGGCAGTGCGGTGACGGGCGAGTGGTGGACGAATCAGGGTGGTGACGCCGGCGGCAATTTTTGGCGCTGGATCAATCTCGGCATCACCATGGGTCTTTATGCGATTGAGCTGAAGATTTCGAATGCGGATGATGATGGAAGGTTGACAAGTCACTGGAAGGTTGACTAGATTGG